GTTGCAGTTGATGCAGTGGGCGCAGTGGAGGGTTGCAGTTGATGCAGTGGGCGCAGTGGAGGGTTGCAGTTGATGCAGTGGGCGCAGTGGAGGGTTGCAGTTGATGCAGTGGGCGCAGTGGAGGGTTGCAGTTGATGCAGTGGGCGCAGTGGAGGGTTGCAGTTGATGCAGTGGGCGCAGTGGAGGGTTGCAGTTGATGCAGTGGGCGCAGTGGAGGGTTGCAGTTGATGCAGTGGGCGCAGTGGAGGGTTGCAGTTGATGCAGTGGGCGCAGTGGAGGGTTGCAGTTGATGCAGTGGGCGCAGTGGAGGGTTGCAGTTGATGCAGTGGGCGCAGTGGAGGGTTGCAGTTGATGCAGTGGGCGCAGTGGAGGGTTGCAGTTGATGCAGTGGGCGCAGTGGAGGGTTGCAGTTGATGCAGTGGGCGCAGTGGAGGGTTGCAGTTGATGCAGTGGGCGCAGTGGAGGGTTGCAGTTGATGCAGTGGGCGCAGTGGAGGGTTGCAGTTGATGCAGTGGGCGCAGTGGAGGGTTGCAGTTGATGCAGTGGGCGCAGTGGAGGGTTGCAGTTGATGCAGTGGGCGCAGTGGAGGGTTGCAGTTGATGCAGTGGGCGCAGTGGAGGGTTGCAGTTGATGCAGTGGGCGCAGTGGAGGGTTGCAGTTGATGCAGTGGGCGCAGTGGAGGGTTGCAGTTGATGCAGTGGGCGCAGTGGAGGGTTGCAGTTGATGCAGTGGGCGCAGTGGAGGGTTGCAGTTGATGCAGTGGGCGCAGTGGAGGGTTGCAGTTGATGCAGTGGGCGCAGTGGAGGGTTGCAGTTGATGCAGTGGGCGCAGTGGAGGGTTGCAGTTGATGCAGTGGGCGCAGTGGAGGGTTGCAGTTGATGCAGTGGGCGCAGTGGAGGGTTGCAGTTGATGCAGTGTGCGCAGTGGAGGGTTGCAGTTGATGCAGTGTGCACGATGTGTTATGAGTTCAGAGTACACGCAGGTCTCCGGCGGTGCATGGGTTACGTCCCCTGCTGCCATCACTCACTGGCAGCTCCCATTGTGTTCAGCGACTTATTACGCCCACAGAATATCTGCCTTTCAGGTACAGAGCTTTTACTGCACAATTATCACATGTGCCGCATACTCTGAGCGCTCCTGTCTGCGTGTGTGTCTGCGTGGGGGGGGGGGGGGGGGGCGGGGGGCGAAC